TATATATATAGGTGCACTTTAAGTGTATTTATTTATTAGTCAATTTATATATTTCCACTTTTATTTTTAATTATGTCAGTTTCGGTCCTCCGTACTGCAGAAGCCTGATAATCACCCATTCATTCAAATCAGGTGTGTTTGGGCAGAGAAAAAAGTAAAACATGCAGGGCTGCAGCTCTTGAGGACCAGGATTGCCCACTCCTGATGTATAATTTATACCGAGTTTCATAAAAACTAGTAAACTGAATTTATTCAGGCATATTTTTTTCCTAATTCTTAGAAGTATGTAGTCTTCAAATTAGTAAAAGGTAATTCTGATGGATTTGAGAGAAAGATCCTGGAAAGAAATTGGAATATTTAAGTAAATAACAGGCTAGCATGAGCTAACATATTTTACTTTTTGTATTAGTATTGATCACATATTTGTATATAAATTGATTTCTGTTGTGGGTATAAAAACAACAAAAAAAATGCTGTTATGTTTGGTCACATTTTCAAAGAGCCACTGCAGAGGGACCAAGAGCCACATGTGGCCCCAGAGCCACAGGTTGCAGACCCCTGGTTTAGGACATCTGCTGATCACTTCTGCCTCTGAGAGAAATGTGGGCAATCACGTCAGCTCTGTCTGTCTGGTCTGAGGGAGCAGCAGAGCCACCAGGCCTCCTATGAGCAGCAGGGCTGACACCAGCAGGATGGGAACAGTGCAGTTAGAGTCCACCAACCTCCCAAAGACTACATTTCCCATTACTGCTGCCACTCGGCCCACTCCAGTGAAGACACCCAGAGCTGAGGACCTGAAAGCAGACCAGCTGTGAGCAGCTGTGACTCAGCTCAGAGCCCAGGCCTGAAAAAAATCTGAATTGTTGCTCTTTAGTTTTACCGAAACTGGGTCGGGTACAGCTCAGTTCCCACCACATCCAGGGCATTCCAGGCGATCACAGAAACTCCGCTGAAGACACACGAGAGAACCAGACTCTGTGCTTTGGTCTGAACCACATAGATGAGGAAGATGCTCAGGCTGGACACCAACAGGCTACCGGCTGCACAACACAACAAACAGGAAGTGACAGCTAAAGGTGCTCTTTGAAAAGCTGAGGTGACTTTATGGTTCATAAACCAGAGAAAAGCAGGGGATTCTGATGTTATCAGTCCATGAAATGGACGTTATTAGGCGTTATCAGTCCCATACAATGGCTTCAGAGGGTCCCTACTGTGCCTTCTGGGCTTCAGGCTGTCCCGACAGTGCCCCCTAATGGGTTAATATATCAATGACAATGAATGTCTAAATAACCATATAAACAAAATATATTTTAATAAAATTTTTGTCCTTGTCTGGTGGTGTTCCTTGCTCTTGCTATCCATGTCAGTCTCGAACCCTGGTCTCCTGCTCTATGGGCTGACGATCTACCCATTGACCTATTAGAAGGCCACATTGCACAACCGTCGGAGGGCGGTGTCTTTGTCACTAACCAGGACATTTTCTCTAAGGTCAACCTTAGTGGCTTTAAGCCTCATGTTGACCTGTTTTTAATGCCTCATATTAATCAGATAGTGGTTTTATGCCTCATACAGCGGGTAAAATAACTATTGAACACGTCAACATTTTTCTCAGTAAATATATTACTAGAGGCGCTAATGACATGAAATTTTCACCAGATGTTGGTAACAACCCAAGTGATCCATACATACAAAGAAATCAAACCATAAATGTCCAGAAATGAAGTTATTTGTAATAATGTGGAATGGCACAGGGCGGCACGGTGGCTCAGTTGGTAGAGCTGATGCCTCTCAGCAAGAAGGTCACCGGTTCAAATCCCGGTCTGGGG